ATTTATTGACATCAGATTTAGATCAGAAAAATCTAAGTAAATATGATAAAATTGCTTATTGAACCAATAATATTGTTACATTAATATATAAATGTTAATAACATTAGTAATGTTACATTACTGTTGTATATAACTTATAATTTGAAAATTTTAATAAAGTTTTAGTAAAATTTTTAGTAAATTTTAAAATATCTTAAATAGATTTAGAAATTTTAATTTTATTTTATTTAAGTATATCGCAATTTTATGTATTTATACAACATACAAATTATTTTACACTCATTAATTAATTGCAATGATTTTGTGCAAACTATTATCATCATAAATTAAGTTTAATTGAATTTACTATTGAGTGACATTGAATGTCATAAAATAACTTTATGCAACTAATTGCATTTTATAAATAAATTGATAAATATAATCATCATAGTAAAAGTTTGTTAAAATAATTCTGAACATAAAATATATTGAAAAATAGTCAAAATTCGTGTAATGTTAAGTTGGTAAAATTAATTAAAACTTATAGCAACCCACAATATATACAGTGTATATTATACACAATATAGCTGATGAATACAAAAAAGCCAGAAGTGAAACATATCGCCGATATAGTGGGTGAATGGGGTAAATGGCAGTTCCTATTCAGCGCCTTCTGTTTCCTGCAGTCAGGCTGTGCGGCCTTTATTAACATGGGATATGGCTTTCACGCCAAACATGTGGACTTCTGGTGCGCCGACACACCAACCAATCTTACCGTAATTATACAACCATTATTATTTGTTTAATAATTCAGTGTACATTTTGTATATTTATAATTGCAATAATCTTATGTATGTTTTCATTTGAAAAGTCACATCATTTAAGCGATTCTATTAAATGTCATAAATATAATAATCCAAACGAAAGCTGCACTCATTGGGAGTACAATAGGACTCAGTTTAGAAAAACAATCATTACTGAAGTAAATATGATTAACAAATTCATATTAAATTATATTATAATTGTTTACATAGTTTGATTTAGTGTGCGATCGAGCTAGCTATGCATCTCTAACGCAATCATTTTTTATGTTGGGTTATGTGGTGTCGGGACTAATAATATCTTATTATGGGGACAA